ACCGCGTTGAACTCATGCAAAACCATTTAATTTCACACTAGCACCAGCAACTCTGTTCGACATATAAACAGAAAAAAAGGCACTCGCAACAAAAGAGAGAAAAAACGAAGAACAAACTGAGGGTTGTCGTTGAGCTAATGCTAAATCGCAACAAATAATCTGGTAGTGTTGTGCTTGTTGTGCATTACATTTCAAATAGTAGCTTCTTTTGCCATTAACTGGGTTTTGTATCAGTATTGTGTTGCCTCTTTTCCATTTGAACGACCGCTCATTCGTTGTCACACTTCTTGTTTTACTTACACTTTCTTTGCAAAGAAAAAAAAACACGAATCTCGAACTAACGCATTTAGATCGGTGTTTATTGCTGTGTTCTGTGCGCTCTACCATCCCAAACATTGATAGTAGTACTGGAACTCGAAGCCTTATTTGCATTGGAATTGCGCACCGAATGCGCTCGTTCATTCACTAAGAAAGACACGTTGCAAACGCATGAACATCGAGTTGGTTTTGCTTAGCTCATTATGCCTTATGTCTTCGCATTTCAGCATAAACACAACGAAAATGGCAAACTTTATGCTGTATACGGACTGAAATGTATATTTATAAGGATCAATTTGCACATTTCGTTTATTTAGTTCTTGTCGTTGTGTGACACACAACGAACGAATTTACAACTAACTGCTCACGATATATTGCAAGCAAGGGACCGACCGACCGAGCAAGTGAATCGTCTATGCGTGTTCCATTTATCGCTTTTGTTCATGGCTAAAATAAGATTATCAATTTAGTTTGCAATTTTATATGCCATCCTCATTCCATCAGTCAATCTAATGCGATGGAAATCTTTCAAATGCAAGAAGCGCCGCTCGTTTGCTATCACAAGCGCGGTCGTCTTTTTTGTCCTTCCATTTGCTGTTGACATTCAGTGAATTGATTTAAATTATGACGCGCTTAATTGCGTGGTTACAATCTAACACCTCGCATTCCGTATATACATTTTTCCCAAGTGCTTATGGAAAATGTCAAAAGCACTATAAATTAGATGGAAATAGCGCGTTGCTCAATTTAACGTTTCAGCAATTTTAGTTCGATCGATAAAATGTGTTAGTTTAGGGCATGTTCGAAGTATAACAAATCGAAGTGTAACACCGAATCAGTCAAAAGTGTAAAGAATTGTGCATGTTAAGGAACGCTCGTTGCTTTTTTCACAAGTGTGAAGGTTTCTTGGCACCGTATTGTTCAATCATTGAATTTGCAACTTACTTTTGTATTGGTTCAGTTGCTGAACATCTCCCAATCGATTTTTATTCATCGGCCGAAATGTTTGTGCATTTTACGCTCTAACCGAAATTTAACTGGGATGGAAGCAGCCTGGCGCAACGCTGCAAAATGTCAATGTGGTTAAATACAAATAAATAAGCTTGTAATATTCGTAGAAGAAAGCAGAAAAAAAACTCTGTGAACCATGGCTGGCGGGAATGTTTTGGGGTCTTCCTTTGCTCATTTTCAACTTGGCGCCGCAACAAATAACTTTATTGCATGTCTTATAATACCCGCTCTTTGTTCGGTCGAGATTTACATCGAAAATTGTATTTAAATCTATTCATGTACACAGTACACGCCAAGGACGAACACAGAAAAAAAACTCACGCTCACTTGTTCGCTCGCTCGGTCTCTCTGGCGTTCTTTTGGCAACCAAACTATGATTATTACTATTAAAGTAATTTCATTGCATGGATATTTTGTTGTTATTGTTTTTTTTTGATCTTGTTTGCTGGCCGCACACAGTATTTCGAGTATACAAAAAGAGTGTGCGAGGCAGTAAATGAGCCAAGATGCCATCGACTACGTACACAGTACATAAACAATGTGGATCGTGTTTTTACGATCGCGAGCGCATTTGTTTGTCTTCAGTTACCATTCATTTCATAAATTATGGAAAATATGTATTTAAACAAAAATCTGTAGTCGTTGCCGCGTCGACGAAAGCTCTTGCCTTAATTTTTGTTTATATTCTGTTGTATCATTCTGATGCCACTGTCGCCGCCGGCGTTGATGCCGTCATCGTCGTCGGCGTGGTGGTAGTGGTGGCGGCGGCAATCAGTTCCACGGGAACAGCGGTCGATAAATGGTATCCATTTCACTTGTTCCCCTAACAATTTATGTAATTTGTATTAGCTATATCGTAGTCCCGAAAAAGCAAATAAGATAGCAACCACTTCCATAATAATAATAAAAAAGGAGTCGAGCAAATAAAATGCAAACACTGAAATGAGTATGTATGGGTTGCGGTGCGCTGCAAATGGTGTATAAATTCTTGTGAAGTGTGTGTGTGTATAGGAAGACAATTCATTCGTTTTTCACTTTCGGGCGGTAGTCGACTTTTAGTTGCCGTCATCGCTTTTTGTGGCCATCGCAACTTGGCAAAATGTTTCAACAGAAAGAGAGAGTGAGAAAGAGTGCGACCATACTCACGAATTTATTGCCGTATTTTATCTACATTTTATGCGATCGGGTGTGCAGAATGGTAGAGAAAGCGAGAGTTGAAGTTACAGTTTTTATAAATGCACTTTGCACACACAAGATATGCCCACACACCAAAAATGTGCTATGATTTCCAAGATAAATAGTCCAAATACGAAATATCAGCCAGTATACCACCACGAAAGCAAAAATACCTCATGCATAATTTGAACAGTGTAATCGTTCGGCAATCACAACACAGTGGCAGCCGTGGCACGTGGTTACATGCGGTTTGTACGGTTTTGTTGAAATTAAAATTTTACTAACCTCTCTCTGTCGTCGTTGTCTAGGCGCCGAAAGCCGAGCACCGAGTGAGTGTGTATGTATGTGTCTATGTGGGACCGTTATCGATTTGTGTGCATTTCTACGCTAGTGGAGCGCAAAACGAATCATGGTGTGCGACTCATGCATTCAGGACACACGATGGTTTCTCAACGTTCAAGATGTATTGAATAACATCCAATTATGGGCTTTATTCGTGAATAAAATATGATTCGGATGCAAAATGCCTCTCAGCCAAGCGATTTTATAATTTCATTTTCTGCACACATGATTCTCTTTGTTCTCCTTTTTGTCACCAGCTTAACGCGCCACTTTACCGAGTCAAAGTATTCTTCTTACTTGCGTTGTTTGCACAAATGTGCGTGTGGTGTGTGTGTTGTGAAACGGATTTAGCGCCTCAAGCGGAACACCGAAAAAAAAATCCAATCAGTTACGCATAAATTTACTGACGTATACGAATTTCATTCCGCGGCTGCTGCTTTGCTCGCGCGAATGGTTCGTGCAAAACAGCGATTTCGTCTGAAAACGAAAATCCTCCGACGATTTGCCGTCCAATTTGATATTTTAAACGATTTTTATGAATGTTTGCATAAGTCGAATGCTGAAACAAATGTTATACCATTCCGATCGATTGTAATTTTCGTTGAAAAATGCGTGTGCTGTTCGACGGCCATCATGAACACATATATGCTGAACGACGTTTCCACATTTGATTACTTATTCTAATGTATTTGCTTCCGCTTCAGTTTTTCAAAGCATATATTTTTCGGGAAATAGCTCATGCCAACGCAAAATTTGTTGAGGGAATCAAAGTTTCTCTTGCGCTGATTACACACACACAACGTTCAGCAATGGGAATTACGGTCGCGACTCGACTCGCTGAACATCTAATGCTGTGCGCCTGGGTTAGCAAATTGAACCAATGAGCGAATCCAGCAAAAGCTCTCTTATGAAGCCTTCACAAATCACTTCATTCAAATACAATTGTCAACAATTTAAACTGAAACGATTTTGAAATTTCAAACGTAATTGCCACCATATGATGATGGTGCCTGTTTTGTTTTCTTTTATCCGGAAAATTTCTTCCCTTCTTTCGCTTCCACACAAAAGAACGTTCCGCGATTTGATTGCCTTTATTAATTTATACAGCAGCAGAAATACCAACAACAAAAGAGCCGGGAGACAGTAAAAACCGACATGTGTTAATACGTCGACAACAGAAAAGTGTCTACTTGTTTACTAAAAGGGATTGTTGATTGTATTTTTTTTGCCCCTTTCTTTACATTCAGTTGAATATGGAGTGAACACCAGGTTACCTCAATACAATTGCCTTGAGTGTTTTTGTATATGTTAGACAATAATATGCTATTAATACAATGCCAGGAAACGCTTGGATACGTGTCATATAAGAAAATGGTGTGTGTCGTTGGTGTATATGTGTATCATATCCTCTCCTGGTTTCCGGGACACGAATTTGGCGAAAATATTCACGAAGAAAAAAAAAACATCGCCTAACCCGCATTTATTACTGTTAAATTGACGTTTACATACGCAAACAATTTGATGCGTCAAAATCTGTCGCACGCTCTCTTCTATCTCTTGGTCTGTCTTTATCAAGTGGTTTTCCCATGTGCCATACGCGAAATCGTGCTTCATTCACTTTTTTCGTCTTGGAAATAGCAACAGAAACAGTCGCGTTAACCGAGATCCAGAAAAAAATCGATGTACTTACATGACAAAACGCACCTTCTGAAGAATTTGCTCGATTTTTTTTTCTTCTCTACCTTTGTTTTCGTTTTCACTGCTCGCGTGTATGTGTCTTTTTTCCTCTGTATACACGATATCTCTCTATCACGACGAACGAGAATCTCTACTCAAAAAGTCGACTTTACATGATATTACATGTGCTCGTTTTAATATCATTGCGATGCGAGCATTTTCGCACCATTTTATTGAATACGCATAATATTAATATCAAACGCAAAAGCGAAAAACACACGGCACAAGGGCGCAGATATCATCCATTGTTGCTGTTGTGTATGTGTAAGTGATACACACCTGTGCTTCCGTGTATTTTGATTCTGCTTTAGCTTTGGCAACGAACATTTCGAGCCAAGTGAATCGAAAGTCGAAGTAATGTGGATACGGAGAGAGAAAGAGAAAAAATAGAAATGCCAGTGAGCTCATTTACTTACCCAGCAACGCAATGCAGTAACTTACAGCCTGTAAGATGGTATACTTCTGAGTGTGGTACTTTTCGTTTGTTCGGTCGTTTTTCTTCGCTTTTTATTAGGGCAAAACGGTAGTATGTGATGCGTGTATAATGGGAATCTGGAAAATTTAAAGCTCAAATCAAATTGACTGTTAAACTCTTTTTATTTTGTTTGCACTACGCATGAGTCTCACGTAATAAAAATTTAATTTGAATAGAAACAGAATTACAAGCTTATCTACAAATCACAGGTCTGCTGTAAGGACTATCGAATTTCACAGCCTGCGGACTGTTTCACTATAATTTATATGTATACTTTGACGACTATAAAGGCGACGACGATGAATCAATTTCGAAGCTCCGAATTCGAGAAAGACGACCAAAAGCGGCTTCTTCAAACGAGTTGATCTCAATACTTCGGAATGAAATTAACGACCGAATTAAGGATCAAATTTTCCAACTTCGTTGCCTGAAACGTTTTTCGTAAATGAATAAAAGAGTTCGTTTTCTCACACAAGTGGTTGCTATAGCTCCAACCGTATGATGTTTACAACTCGAATGTATGAAACATGTATGTTTTTATCATTTTGACCGAAATCGCAAGCGAACCTGTTCGGAGCGTTTTTTTTTTTCTTCTATATAAACAATGCATGAATTTTTTAACCAACATCAATATGTTCTATAGCCTGCTGTTCTCTTTGCTGTTTACACGTAGAATTTCGACTTATACACAACATAATGGATGGGGAAAAAGCAATTTTCTGACGCACACACACATATCACATAATCGCATAAATTTGTATCACTCATGCTCTCGCAACTCGTAATTTCCTTTTAGTTCCCTCAGCCCAAGACACAACTCCTACAAACAGAAGAATTTGTGTATGCGTATGTATGTGGTGTTTTTTTTTGCTGAAAAATTTAATTTCAAATCCGTCTACTTGAACTTTTTTGCCGCACCAAATATTTCAAATTTTGTTGAACTTGTAATCAGCTTTGCGTCGAATTTCAAATGGGCCGCACCACAAGCCGACTCAACGGAAAACACATGCACAGAGGAAAATTGGTAGCTGGCAAATGTCTTTTATTTTCATTTTTATTTGGAATTAAACGACAAAAAACACACATACATACGCTTAGGCACACTCAAGCGTGTTTGTATTGAGGAGGTAGAGAAACAAACGACTTTCAATTGAACAGATGCTTGAAAATATGCACGTACAACACAGTATTTCGAAGAAATTGCAAATACAAAGTATTGCGTTTAATCTGTTTGTAAGTTGAATCAGCTTTTTAAAACAATTTCATTAATATTGAATGCATTGGCAAAAACCGCTCGTGGGATAAATGAGTGAATATTGAAGTGGGATTCGTGAAGTCTTCATAATCTCAAATCTTATGATAAGATTTTGCGGAGCCCGATTCTCCTCCACAGATTTTTTAAGGTGGGTGAAGTCAATATCAGTGAAGTCAATGAAAAATTTCTGGGAAATTGTGTGACGTAAAGCGATCTTTAATGAGCTAGAAAATGGAAAAAAATCTATGAGTGTTCCTCCTAATTAAGCTGCTGTTTGTCGCGCTCAGAAATTTTATGGGACATTTTGCGCAATGATCGAATTCCGTTGGTTTGATGTGCATTATAGCGAGTTCCATAAAAGAATGAGGCAGTGCCTCAATGAGGCACTCTAACATGGTATACAAATCAGCGATTTTTTTTATGATTGTCATTCGGCGAATGATTGCATTTTAATGAGCTGCGTGTGTGTATGTTTTTGCTTGCCCGCGCTGACAGTATCAGGCCAGTCAATCAGAAACCAATATAATTTTCGCTTCACGCCACTTCCTTACAAAGGAGTCATAAGTAAAATTTATGACCATAGATTTGGATGCCGCAAATGTGTACTTGGTGTACGCACGCACGATAACAACATAAATTGCCAATCTGCAGCCATAAGTCATACGAAAACGCACACATATATATTTCAAAAAGTCGCGTTTTCCGCTTGTATCCATGTCTTCGCTCGCACAAACACACAGACACATAGACACACACTTGAGAATCCACTTGAAATTCATGAACAATGTTAGACTACTCACATTTTTCCATGATGGCGTTTATCATTTATCAATATTTCGTAATAATTGCACATCATGACTTTTTAAATGTGCCCATAAAGAAAAAGCGACAACGATGACGACAACAACGGCAAACAAATCAAATGGGCCGTGCACTTTGTTCCGATTCATAAAAATATGGAACGACGAATCTGAACGAATCAACGAAATACATCCTGCGCAGTCCCGAGCTGTTATTCATTTTATGACAAAAGCAGTAAATTAAAAATAAATATATGCTTCTGCTTTTATCATAAACTGAAATCATGGAGATTCGTTTGTTCGTGTTGCTGATGAGAAGAAATGAAAAAATGAACTTTCTTTGATAACAACAAAGACGCCCGTTAAATAAAAACCAGAGGAAAAACCACAGATTCACCTAGTTTTCTAGGAAAAATAAATAAGTCAGACGATTTTGCAATCGCAAAAAAGAGAACAAACGCACACATGATAAGCCGACGAGTAATTGAAAATGCATCGCCTGTTTTATTAAAATCCGTTAGACAAATACGAAACGTGTATGGGAACCACAATCAAAAATTACAAAATGAAAAATTCCCACATGAGGGCAGAAAAGCCAACTCTAACATTTTTACCATTTCCATCGTACCGAAAATTATGAATTTGGAACTGGTTTCTTTTTTACTCGACCTAATCTTCGTGTGATTCATATTCGCTTCGTAACATTTTTCATTTTAACTGATTTCATAAAGTAGCACACTTTCACAGGCCGAATAATCACCGAAAGCGGATACAACACACACACAGAAAATGTGAATGTGTGCCAGCAAATGATGGCAAATACGAGTGAGAGTAAGAGCGGCATTCACATGTGGATTTTTGTTGGCGGCGAGTGTGTGCTTGGGCATAATAAAATGGGAAAATGGTTTCGAGAACAGCAAAATGATTGGAACAGCCTCCGAATGGAATTGAGTGTATTGAGCGTACGGCGTACGTGCGGTTTTATTACACGCGAAATGGCGGAAAAACATTTAAATGACGACGAAAGAAAGCTCCTAAGCCGAATCCGAGTGTGGTGGTACAGAACGAAAAACATTTACTTCACATTCGAGGCGAATAAACAAAAAAACGTTGAACAGCAACAACAAGAATAAAAAAAAAATGTTCTCATGAAGCATAAAAATGAGTCTCAAAGGAGCCGCTCATTTCATATGTATACAAAGGGAGAGCGAAAACAAGTATATATGTCCGTAATGAGAGTGATAGTGTGTGTGTGTGTGTGTGAGAGAGAGAGAGAGAGAGAGAGTTCAAAATGAAAAAAATTGCCTCATATTCAACAAACCAACACTCGAATATTTCAACCATTTTCCCTTTTGTGTGTGTTGTACTGTTATATCCAAAGCTCCTTTGTCATGCATTCAATGCACCACTCATATGAAGAACAAAAAATAATGATTAAGAGAAAAGAAACAGTACACCGAACACTAGTACAGACATACACACACACACAGGAATCTTTCGTATAGTCAAAGAGAGAAAAGTCCATGTACTCATGTACAGAGAGAAAATCCGGTGAAATTGTTTTCAATTTTAATTTTCCTTTCGCAGAAACGTAAATCCATTTCCCAAACTTACAGCTTTACAAATAAAAGTTTAACTTTTAAAACTCGTTTCAGATTTCCTTTATTCCTATGACTTGATGCTCAGAAAATGAGATCTCTGTGTTTTTTTCAAATTCCAATGTGCACAAAATCAGAACATTTCGATCAGTTCAAAGAGATTTTATCAAGGTTCTCAATCATTCCAACCAAACAGTGAAATAACTCATATTCTATTTATGATGAGTATTGTAGTAACTTTGATTCAAATTACCTCTAGTGTACCTCAATCAAACCATCATAAAGAAATAAAGTATTTAGGTCATGTTCCCAGAAATGATCGGTACGAGTTTGTAAATTACAGCGAGTTTGAATGAAATGAAATGGTGTAGTAACGTGTAACGAAACATTTGGATTTTCGTTTGTCGAATTTTTGGTTGGGTACGAATGCTATTCCACAAAAAATGTAACATGGAACCACTGTAAGAATCTTTTCATGGTATTCCGTAAAAGTAAACTGCTTACTTAGTACAGAAAATCGGATTATAAAGAGTAAATTTTTTTCAAAGTAAGCTGTAAAGTGGTTTTTATTACTCGAATATGCAAACTAAATTTGGACGTGAAATAATCACGAACCAATTAAAGTTCTTGAAATTCGTTTTATATTTGTGTATTTGGTGAAAATCTGCGTTGAAACGCTATCAAAATGCTTGTCGAAACGAGTGAAGTGTTTGAATCGGAATGATGTGGTTACATGGCAGAAACCGCACATTTGTTTGGTATATTAATCAAAAGCTATTTGCTTGGTAACTCAAAACAGACTCACTCCAAGAGTGCGAAATGTGTTGAGAAGCATATGAAAATCTCAAAATTCTGTTGAATTTTCAGGTGGTTACTTGAAACACCAGCAATGAACGTGCAGCCAGCCAGCCAGCCAAAATATAATCACAATGTCTTAATGGATTTTATTCATTGAAATGTTGATGATGATGATGACGATAATGAGAGATGCATATGCTTAACCATTTCAAGCGTAAATGGTAAGTTATCATGTATCGTTGTTGAATTAAAATCTCCCAGCGCATTTTCAAGTACATGAAAGCGTTGCAAAATGGTTTGTTGGAAAGTCGCCTTTGTGAAACCACAATTCATTATCGTATTCTAATGAGGCTGGAGTATATCGATTTTAATTAAGAGCACGTGTAATCAATCCATTAACCGAAACGGACCCGTTAAATGGGCTTGATGCTGTCTGTGCACCTGATGCGAGAAAGGGCAAGAATGAAATTTACCAAGCATTGATAATCACTTGCACATAAACATACACTGTTTCATTTTCAGTATATGGATTGCATCCAACGCAACGTTCATACATATCACAAAAGACACGCTACACACATTTGCCAAACGAGACGAGAAGAGTAAGCTCTTCGTTTTCAATTCAT